CAGCATATATTGTTTTGGTACATTGTCTTCTAAACTAACCTAAACAGTGTACTTTGTTGACGAACTGTTTTCTAAAATTCTGCACGTACTGTAGCATAGCAGTTATATCCTTGAAATATTATCTAAAAGCACCAATATATTTTTTGGCAAAGCTCTCTACATTTTTAAGAATCAATTAACTCATTAGATTTCCACTACAGTACACATGCCCAGTCCGGCTCAGCAAGCACCTTTCCACTCCCCGTCTGTATAAAGACTCTCGGGCTGTGGTTCCCACTCCTGGTCCTGGCGATCCCCACACCGGGTCTTTGTTCCAGCTGGATCTCCCGGACAAAGATTAGACAGCTCTGCTTTCAAATGATTTTTTCCCTGACTGTCAATATCAATAAACAATGATAAACCTATACCAAACACCTTAAGGTCCCTAGTGTACATCTACTTTTGGATCACTAAAAACAAATTGAGTCTTTTTCACAAGTGCTCTATTGGTTACACAATCAAACCCTTCACTGACTTAATAATAGGGAGATTAGGAGCTGGGAACAAACAGATCAGATTAAACATTTTATGAGTTAAATTAAATCCCAAACTTGTGACTAGAAACAAAATGCAAATATTCATTTGAAGCAACCTCTCAGATCCAGTAAGGCCTCAATTATCTAATTAAGGTGAAATGGAATTAAAATCAGCAGGTGTGTGGGGACCACTGTTTTAGGGATAAGGAGTTGTAGAGTGTGGATTTTAAAAATAAGGGATGTATTGTTCTCAGCTATCAAATTTAACAAAAAAAAAAGATTTGTTTCTAAACCAATTGAGCACTTGTGAAAAACACTAAATTTGTTTTTAGTGATCCAAAAGTAGATGTACACTAGGGACCTTAAGGTGTTTGGTATAGGGTTATCATTGTTTATCTTTGACAGTCAGGGAAAAAATCATTTGAAAGCAGAGCTGTCTAATCTTTGTCTGGGAGATCCAGTGTGTCTGCAGGTTTCCATTCCAACTCAATCAGCTTGTTATTCCACTTAACAGGACAAATTTAACAACTTCTCCCTGCTGTTTAGGTACTGCTGCTGTAAAGAGATTTAGAAATCCTACCAACACTCCGCCCTTCTGGAAAAATGTTTAGACAAACCTGACTTACTGTATATTTAGATCTAGACTTACTTTTTGATTAGTCAAACTCATTCTTAGAGAGTCTGATAAATGACATTGGAAAAGTATGTTATTATTTATCTATTATTTGCGATATTATTTGTCCAGTTGATTTGATGTATGCAATACTACAATTCAGAACAGCTCAACAATAAATTATGTATAATTATGTAGACTTTGACTGTAAAATAAATATGTACTGACAACTAATGAAATAAACTTATGTACAGTACATTCAAGGTACATGCAAATTAAATAGTAAAACAAGAAACAAGAGTTGGAAATTGAGGCAATTGCTAGCCTTCAAGAACAGTGTTTCTTCTTTCTACGTTTCAGTGTGGAATTAACCTTTACTTGTTACATCTTCTGTTGATTTATTAAACTGGCAAAGCAGTACAGCTTTTTACCCCTGTGAGAATTGGATGGCTTGTTGGTTTGTTGTGGGTGGGAGGGTTTCTATTTGTGTGTGAGTGGACATGGGTGGCCATTGATAGACTCAGTTAGCATTCTGACTCACCCACTAAGTGTCTGGAGAGTAGTTCGCATATAAACACAGCAGCATGGTGGCTAGCACTGTGGCCTCACAATCTTTGGGTCCTGAGTTCAGTTCTAGACTGGAGACTCTTCTACAGTATGTGCAGTTTGCATGTTTTCCCTGTGTCTAAATGGTTTTTTTTCCAGGTCTTCTAGTGTCCTCCCACATACCAAAAGCATACGGGCTAGGTTAATAATAATTCATAATAATAATAATAATAATAATAATAATAATAATAATAATAATAATAATAATAATAATAAGTTTTATTTACAAAGTGCCTTTCCAAACCCAAGGATGCAATACATTGTGATAAAGAAAAACACAAAAGTAAAAAGCAAAAAATAAAAGAAAAATTAAAACAAGATCGTACAGGATAGAGAGTGGAACAATCAGACATAGGGACTAGGAAAAAGTTGAGTGAGTTTTGAGTTTATATTTGAAGAGAGTAAAAGAATGTGTCTCTTTAAGAGTTGGAGGAAAGGTGTTCCATCACAAGGAGCAGCAACAGGAAAGGCAAAAGTCCAAGAGTTAGTCCTGGGTACAGTGAGGAAAGAGTCAACCTCAACAGAACAGAGCCTACAGGAACGAGTGTAAACATGGAGGAGTTCAGAGATGTATGATGAGCCAGATTATTTAAAGCCTTGAAAGTCAGTAACAAGATCTTGTATTGAATATGTGACTTTATAGGCAATTTATAGACCAAGCTCTGGTATGAGTTACAAGTCTAGCTGGAGAGATTTGGACTACCATCATGTCTTTGGACTGTGGGAGGAAACTGGAACACCCGGAGGAAACACATACAGTACGAACACAGGGAGAACATACAAACCAAGCAGACAGCACCCCAAGGTCCCAGCACTGCTGAAATGCTAACAACTGTGCCACCGTGCCACCCTTCATAATTTAATATAACCATGTACAATGTGATACAATCACGTAGTGACTCTCCTCTGTTGTGTGGCCAGGTTTTGGTTAGCAGTCCAGGAGCTGAAAAAAAGGCCAATCCATGAAGTACCAGCCCGTGTCCAGGAAATCTGGCTGGAATTCCTGGCTCCCGGTGCTCCCAGTGCCATCAACGTAGACTCCAAGAGTTATGACAAAACAACCCAGAATGTGAAGGATCCTGGACGGTATACGTTTGAAGACGCCCAGGTAAGCCCTGTGATGCTTTGGGCAGGCAGTGTAGAGCTGGAACGCATTACCTTTCTTCCTGCATTCCAGCTTGATCTGATCTACAGCTTCATTTTCCAGGTGTTACTTTTGTCTTAACACATCAGGTGATGTGTATGACGTGTATTGATCGCCCTGACACATTCTACTTGATCACAAAGTGGAAGTATAATAATAATCTAGAAGGGTGGTCAATACCTTTATCCTCCAGCCTTGAGCACAATGTCGGTAACTGGTACAAACATTATGTATTAGAAACGTTGTCTTTTCTGAATCACGAACTTGCCACAACACTTTAAAATCATTAATTCTAAATAAATATGTCGGTGACATTATACACCACAAATTTGTTTACTAACATGATTTCAGTGTATTTGTAAGTTTAGTTGCTTACAAAGGTATTGGAACCCTTTGCCTAATACAATGTTACTGCCAAAATTAATTTAGTTTAATATTGTTTCAAAGTTTGTTTAATTCTGATTCATCCTAGTGATGTGTGTCCATATTCTTTCTTCTGATAAAAAAATTAAAAAAGAAAACCTCATGCAGTTCCTCTCTGTAAATAAGTGCCAGTGTATTTTTATTTTTATATCTAATATATCTGTCTTGTAATGTACAGTAGGTGGGTAAGTGTCTGGTCTGGAGACCAGCTGGAGAGTTGTGTGTTCATGTTCCCATTGCAGTCCAGTTGTTGTAGAAGAGTCACATGCTATCTTCATTCCTTAACACCATGGAAAATAGGATAGGTCTGGCCTAATGTGTTATTCTGGCTCAGATATGAAAAATGCTTTACCTTATTCTTACAATGTCATGAAAGTCAAATGTAAAGAGATACAGACAAGCGCCATGGACCTGTTGGTACAGGATGCTTAGAGTTAACTTTAGCTTCACCCTGCCTGACTACAGGGATAGCAGTCTGGCCATACTGTACTGTACATCTGAAGTAGTCTGAGCATCCTGAGTCAGACAAGCCAGTTGTTGAGCAGAGGATGCTGAGAAAAAAGACAGTCTCTTATGAATCCGAAACATGTCCACCAAATATTAAATTGTTAGAAAGGACACTTAAAAGAGAAAAAAAAGTAAATATTTTATAACCTCTTGTTAAACCTGTATTTTCAGGAGCACATTTACAAACTGATGAAGAGTGATTCTTATGCTCGTTTCATACGTTCCAGTGCCTACCAGGAATTGCTACAGGCCAAGAAAAAGGTACTGTATATGCCTGAAATATTTTAATGACTAAATGGTTAGGTGTTGGCCATTCCTCCTTTGTAAAAGTTCTGGATCAATGGAAGGTTAAAAAAGAATCATAGCCAAAGAAAAAAGCTTTCATCTCTAATGGCTCATAATCGGTGCTGCATGAGCTGCAGTATATTATTCATCTTTTTCCATTAATGTAAACAATCACTGGCTACATTTATGCACAGATATACTTATTTTATAGTCATTACTGGACTTTGTGAAAGACAGTCTGTCCAAAAAAACAGTCATGTGTTCCTTATTTTGGAAAAAAGAATAATTCTCATGTCCGACATTTTCTGCCTACTGGATTTTATCTTCAGCAGATGTGGGTATTAAGTATACAGAATTTTATCTCTAAATCGACAAAATTATTATACCAAACCTTTAAACTTTAGTATTAGTCAACATACCGTACAGGTTAAGTATGTAATTAAAGTGTGGTAGACCTAAAGTAATAAATAATGTAATATTTGTAAGAGGTGCTTGAGGTCTAGGTGAGGAGGAGAGAGGGGATGTGTGAGAGGAAATGGAGTGCCAGAGCAACTGTGACATATTTAATACTGAACATGCCAATGCACAAGGTACCACACTTCCAAATCACCACTGTGGATAACATGATAACAAGGCTAGTTCAAAAAAAAAAACTTTAATTACTCATTTCAAATCCCAGAAGCATGTTTTTGAAACTTTTCCACTCTTATGGTCCTGTCATTGGGACTGTCCAGAAACTGTCCCAATGAAACTACAGTACAGTATACTCTGTTTAGTATGTACTGTATCAGAGCTCACTGTTGTGAACTTTACTGAAACTTAGTGTAGAATTTTACTGCTGCAGAAGACACAAAATCCTGACGTGTTAGCCACACTCTTCATTTTCAAACAGTTTTATCCTAATGTTTGAGGAAAATAAATCCTTGAGCACACTCAGTAGTGAAATGCAAAACCCATGCCATATCAATCCTGTTCATCCTGTTCTGTCAGTCTACACTGGCTGGTTGAGCAGTGCGTCAGCAAAGTGCCTTGTGCGAAGATCAAGTGGTCTTGTTCCATTTCTTTACACTTTATGTCTATTTTTAAGGTATTTACCCATAGTAAACAAATACGGATAGCTTTGTGGGAATTTTATCAAGGAGTCAACGAGACTCCTTATGCTTTATGCTGAAAACGCATATTATATTCTTCATGTCACAAGGAGGTGCCAGAACTCTGCTTAGAGGTTCCAGATCAGAGAGAGTCTCAGACTGAGAGGTGGCAGAGCACACGATATAAGTAATAACCAATTATTTTTTAATATTTTTGTGGGTAACATTATTGGATTTTTTCAAGCAGTTTCAATCACCCTTATTTCTTTAGCAGTTTGATCTTATCTTGAGAAATGTAATATAGAGATTTCATAGAGGTTTGGCATGACAAGCCTAACTGAGCAACTGTAAGGACGAGGCTTACCGAATCCCTCCTCACTTTCGCAAGGAATGAGCCAGGGAGCTGCTACAAGGGTGTAGATGGGTTTGCAGGATAGTTGTGAGACAAATGTACAAAGAGGGGTTTGGGTGGCAAAATATATCTATACATAGCAGAGTAGAAGTTAGCACCACAACCTGACCTTCCTTGCAAATTTCAGTTAAAAACCTTTACTAAAATCATATGTCTAAATGTAGCTCTTTCATTCTTTTCATTCAGTTTATTTACTATTATTTGCATTTTCAGTGAAATTTTGCAGGACATTTTAACCAGATCGCTTGCAGTTTCCATTCCAGCTGTTGTTTTGATTTTTTTTACATAGCTTGGCTTGCTGTCCATTTCATCATTCCTTCTTTTCAGCTGTGTACTTTTCTCGCCTTTTTTTTCTTCCTTTTCTTTTTTTAATTTAAGTTGGAAAACATTCAGGATCGCAGAACCTCATTTGAAAAATTCACTCGCAATGTGGTAAGTTGATAGGACTTGCATGGCTGGCTGCTGAAACCACCGACTGCCCTGACAAAGTCCGTCACTGCTTTGTGATACCACAATATGCACTCAGACAAAGAAAGAGCTTGTGGATTTGAGCTTTTTACAGCCAAAACCCTTCTTTCCTCCCTCTCCTGAATTGTTTCACCTTTATAACTATATTTTTGGTAGATTTTCATTAATCCAGAACTTGCCCAGGATTTCACAACTGCACTCTTAAAGCACGAATTTAAAATAAAATATTAAGACTAAGTGGCTGATTTCTGGACTTGGCTGAAAATCTGCTTGATGTGTACATGTACGTACCTCTCCCTCTGTTGAATTGGACAATCAGAAATGTTTTAGTTGATTTTGTTATCTGCTGTGTCTGACATAATTTTTACATTTACAAAAGAGTGAATGCACTTTTTTCAAATCCCGAATGGTGCTGCTGTTGTATAACAGGATCTCCTGAAATGTGACTGCATGCAAACCAGTACAGTTTTGCATGAATGTCATTTTCACATTTATTCAAAGTGTAAAAAAATGTGCTCCTTCATGTTTGCTTTTTCCTTGTTCACAGAAAAGTAAGAACTTATTTTGAAGGATTTTGCTTCCAGGTAATGATACTAAAGGAGTGGTGGCTCTTCTCCATCTCCATTCTGTCTGCCACCCTGTTTTTGTGGTGTTATCATGTTGCAATTAAAAGCTATAAGCATATTATATAAGGGATTTTAATTAATGTTTTAGTATTGTGTGTACTGCAATGCACCTGTAAAGTAATACGTGCTGGATTCCATGTAAAATAAAGCCAGATGATAAAGACTGCAAGGTTTCCAGTTATGCCAAAAGTTTTTCTTTTTAAACGTACTGTACATACAGTAGACATATTTTATTTTATACTTGACCCTTTTTAACTACTGTAAGTATTTCATTTGCAGCTTTTTAAAATCAAAAGCTAATGATTAAAGCCCCTTATATATATATTGTACATTGTATATTATAAAGTTTCTTGGCCACTCTGCCCACCAGACACACATATTGTATAAACTGGTTTGGAATTTATTCAGATGTAATTTTCAGGTGAAAATTCTGTGATAAGAATTCCTCGTTTTTCATGAGAACATGAGGACAAGAAACTTTATATGATCATTTCTGTTGTAACAGCTTGTTCAAACTAAGAGCATTAAACACATTTATTTTTATAGGCCAGAAACATGCCTATATTTCCATGCCATAAAAACTGTACGCCAACACTGAAGGCGAACACTCAACTGTTGTGAAAGAGGTAGCTAGTCACTGGCTGGTGTTTTGAGTTTGTGTGTGTTATATGCCGAGTGGTGCAGTACGATGCCTGTCAGTGTTGTAGCTTTTGTTGTTTCTATCAAGTTGTTAACACTGTGAGTTGTCCGTGGCAGTATCTTGACAAAATATGGATATTGCAAAATGTTTTCTTTATACACTATCTTTCCTTAAGTTTGATTATGGGAACTTGGTGGGCAGGAATTAATATCACAAAATGTGCAACAAAACAAGAGAATCCCAATCTGCATTTTAACATATTTAAATGCACCCTAATTATCCATCCACTTTTGTGGGTGACCAGTTCCATAGTATGCATTATACTGCGCAAGCTGCAGTGGTACAAATTATTTGTGAGAAGTTAATTAGATTCAGACGTGATCAGGGTTAATCTTAGATCCTTAATTTTATGCTGCAAGCATCTTTCTGAATTCAACAGAAAAACCTAGGGATCCACTGTAAATTCATGTGAAATTGTATTCTACCTTGTGTGCTGTACTGATTTTTCTGCATGAGCCCCTCCTCTGTCTGATATTAGGTCTCATACTAGGACTTCTATTTTGAGCACTGCTCTTGTGAATATACAGTATATACTGTCTTAAATAACTATTTTAATGAATGTACTGTATAACCCATGCTACCAAACAGGCCTTGTACTATGCCCTAACTATGTTATGAATTTAAAAAATGCGTACATGCGCACATGCATTTTTGAAATTGCAGATAATGGAAAAAAATGACAGTTGGAAATTTCACTTTGT